GTGGAAAGGGGGTGGTGCTCGCGCGCAGGCCGAGGGGGCCGGGGTCGAGCGTGAGGGCCTGCGGGGGAGGGTGGCGGGGCTTCGTCGCGCTCAGCGGGTTCCCCTCCCCGCCTTTGCCGCCACCAGCGCGGATCGGTTTCGCGTTTGGCTCGTCGTCGATCGCGAGGGTCATCAAGGTATTCCCCCGCGCATCCAGCGTGAGCTCGGGGTTTAAGGAGGAAAAGGAGCACGAGGCGGCCCTCCGGAAAGGGTTCTCCGGGTACGCCCACAACGCCGCGAAGCCCTCGAGATCCATCTTCCCGCCGTTACTCACATCCAACGCGGCGATGGAGCCCTCCATGTCGATGGTGAGTCCGAAGCGGTGAATCACCTCGTACAACGCCGAGGTTTCAATCGTCCCCGAGCCGTCCTCGTTCCCCCCAAGGGCGACAAACGCACGCAGGGTATCGGCGTCGACGGTGATATTTTTGAACGGCCAGGCCGCCACCCCGCCCGCATTCTTGCCTTTATTTTCGGAAATCGAGAGGGGGCCTTGCTGCCCGGGGCTTTGCTTAGGCCCGACGGTGATAATAAACGACCTCGCCGTCTCCGATCGCAACTCTATATCCTTCTTGCAGAACTTCAGATACGAAAACAACGCGGAGAGGTTCACCTTATGCCGCGATGCCTGCATGACCAGATCCAACTCCTCCCCACTCGGGTAGAGCCCAAGCTGGCCAAGCAAGACGAGCAGCTCGAAGCTGCTGGTGAGAAATTCGCGATCCCCCACCACATTCGCGAAACACTCCTGAACCCGACCCATCTCATCTAGCGTGAGCTCAGGGAGTCGATCCAGCCATGCCGTGGCGATCGCCACATCGAAGTTGCTGTAGGCGATAGAATGCATCTCCGAAGAGGCGTTCTTTGGGGGGTGGGATTTAAACGGGGGCTCTTTCGATGTACTTATCCCTACGACACTGCCTCGATTTGGCATTGGAGTCTCCATCCTTTTTTACCGTTAATTCCACTAACAGCTCAATGGAATGATCTTGTCGCTCACAATGAGAAGGAGGAAGGGGGGGGGGGGGGGGGAGGAAGGAGAAGATAGCGAAAATGCCCGTTTTGTGAAATTCCTTCGCCAAGATGTTTTTTTTCCTCTTCTTGGATCGAAGTCCTAGTGTTCTGCCTAAACACGCAAAAATACCGGAAACTACCTTCTTGGCATGGTAAAGAGATTTGGATGAGAAGAGATCAACATCAATCGGACAAAGAGGGATGAGGGGTGACGTATCATGTAGTATGACAGAAAAAAAAACTTTTGACAGTAGTAAAAATCGAAGTCATCCCCCTAGAGAGTCTGAACGCTAATCTCCAAAACCATGTCCACTTCGATTCCGGAAGATAAATGCATTACCCCCAAAGCTTGACTTGATCCTCAATTTAAATAAATGTCAAAGCAAATAGACGCGTACACCGCTTTTTGTATTTTCTTCGTCTCGATATTTTGCCATCGCCCGCAGTGGGTGGACCGAAACGCTAGGATTCCTCCTCGTCACTTTTGTAGTTCAGCGCGGCCGCGGCGTCAAGATCCCATTGAGCGGCATCGAGCAGCTCATACGCCGCATCCAGGCTCGGAAGACCGACAAACTCCATCAGCTGCTGCGCCATCCTTTGTTGAAAGTCCGTATATGAACGAAGCGCGGAGATGGGAGCCGCCTCGCTCTTGTCGTCTCTCGCACCTGAGGGGTTTTCCGCCACCTCTACCTTCTCATCACGCGATTCGTTCGGATTTGGATCGTTTTCCCGATGAATCGTTTGATTTTGTTCGCATGTTTGCTGCTGCGGACCCCCCCTTGTGGGAGTCGGGGTTTCTTCTTTTTCCTCTTCCCCTGCTGTACAGCTCGACTGAGGAGGGGCCGTTTGCTCGCCCTTACTCCCCGAGCCCTCTTCCGCCGCGACGGCGAGGCGATCCCGCGTCGCGTTGAGCTCCCGAACCTCCCATTCGTGCAAAAAAGGGATCTCATGCCCGCTCAACCGCAGGACGCCCTTCTGGAGGTCAATCCCCGCCTGGTGTCTGCGAAGCTGATCTAACCCGATGATGACCTCATAAAGCATTTGATCCAGAATCCGAAACGAGAATGGGATGAAGAGCCCGCTCACATTCACCGGGATCATGTGGATCGCCCCGATGCACTGCTGCGTGCCGACACCCTGGATCATCCCGGAAAACCGACGATCGAGGAGGTGCGTGAGCGCGCATTTTTCCACCGCGGAGGTCGTCAGGACGCTCACCGCCGCCCCGGTATCCACAAAGGCCACGAGCGGCACCCCGTTGAGCTCGCATCGGATAAAAAGCATCTCCACGGGAACGAGGTGCTCCGGCGCGAACTCCAGCACCCGGGCGAGGGTCTCGTCGACCTCATTCGGCCCTTGAGGTGGACCGTGCGAGGCGCTCTCGAAGAGTTCGCGAATCCGTCGATTCGCCTCTTCCGTGGAGAGTTCGCCCGCGGGCGCGCCGCGCGCGAGGACCGGCGGGTGGACCTGAACGACGATCACCTCGAGCGGATCCGCGGCCGTTCCCCTCCCGGGCAGCCCCAGCGAGCGGAGCTGAAGATGCCCGTGCGAGGCGACCGTCCATCGCGCGCCCTGGCAGCGGAGCTCCACGCGCGCGACGCCGTCCGCGCGCAGGTGCGCGTGGGCGATGTCTAAAAGCTGCCCGATCGTCGTCTCCTCCGTCAGCGCGCAGCGCATGAGGAGGTCCTTGTTTTCATTCCGAAGGCAAAAAAAGAACATCGTGATGAATCGCTTACTCACTATCGATAAACGGGCGGGAAAGAGAGAGAAAGAGAAAGAGAAGGAAAGAGTGAGAGAGCGAGATGGGGGTTAAACACTTGGTTCGATCGGTCGCTTTAGCCTTTTAAGTTCGTCTTGGCGAATAAAATTAAGCACTCGCCCCCGCTTGATTAGCGGACTGATAGGCAACATATTTTGTTCCTAGGCTCTTAGATCGACACCAAAATAAAATATAGTAACACGCAAATAAGTATACCACTATTTAAACAGCACCGATAAGTTACTGCTGAGCATCAAAAAATGCAAGAACCGAGATCAGAGGAGCGTGAGAGCATAATAGTAGCGAAACCAGCTGGAAATCACACACCTGGGTCGATGATTTTTGATCAGTAGCATGTGTGAAGGCAGCGCATCTACACATAACTCGCTGATAGAGATATGAAAAAATAAAAAGTAATGCGAATAGTCTTTGACAACCAAATCAACACGACAGATAATGCCACAGCTAAGCGAACGGTTAAAGGGAAAAGGAAAGTATGATGCACACTGTATATATATATATATATATATATATATATGACGGAATACAACATGGACCCATCCACCAGCGCGTTGACGGAGCTAAGGTGGATATTATTCGTACCCACGGTGGTCGCCCTGTGAATTGTGATCGGCTTGCTACCCCGTTTTCAAAGGAATGATGAGCCATGGGGCCTCCATACGAATTCTTGCAACCCCGCCCGCAAGAATCGACACATTATGAACCCCACAGCTGAGGAGTTCCAGAGCGAGAGGCTCGCAAATATCCCGATCCTCGTCGATCCGCCTCCACGAATTCGCCGCTAACGCGGGATCCTCGACCCGAAGGGGGGGTCCGTTCGCCGCGGGGGTCGAGGCGCGCGTTTGGGATGCAGGCCTTGGCGCCTCGTCGGCTCGGCCGCCTGTGAAGAGCACCACGTGCGG